ATAAGGAAAGTATTAGAAATTCACAAAATTAATGAACAAGCCCCACCTCATCACATTTGCTGAAAGCAGTCTTTTAGAAAGACATGCTTTTAGCTTATTCAACTGAAAAACAAACCACTCTACCAATACTATTGCCCCTTCACAATATTCTCTCCTGTTGTATAAAGAAAATGTGTTGTAGATAGGTGTGACTAATACCAGAAATACTATCAAAATAACATCTCTGGTAACAGGGACTAAACAGAAGGAGGACAGTTAGTGAATGAGTACATACCAAGCACCACTACAAAAAATGTTTCAATTCCTAAAAATCATGCCATACACAGAACATTTACTTTCCTATACAGCTAAATTTAAAGACATTCAAGACTGAAAAGTCTAAAATCATTATTACAGGCAAGATCCAAATGTAGGAGCAAAATGAAACAAGCTTCTACTGAAACATTATCCCCTACCCATCACAACTGTAAAATTCTACATAGTGACAAATGATATACAATGTTTGACAGGGAGCATCACTGAATAATTCCGTATTATAGTTGTCTTCCAAGAAGACAGAGGCAGCAACCAAGTAAAACTACAGCTGCCCCAATATAAGAAAAGCAATAAAAGAATCTGTACAACACTGATTCCAGACCAACTTAGAATAGCTGAATAGAATCCAGAAATCCAGTCTTTTCCTTAGAAAGGAAACATGTGGAACCAAAACAAAAAAAGGGTAAAAAGTATCTGTCTGTAATTTGAATTCTGTCATATGTGCCTCATCCCTTACAAAAGCAGCTAGTATAAAGGTGTATTAGCAATTTAATGAGACCTGGTCATCTGCAAAATGCAAGGAATATCTAGATAAACTCATTCAGCTAGAAACATTTATTCAACATTTGTTAGAAAATGCAGAAGGCCTACATTTCTGGCAGAGGAGTTGAGCCTCACATCCCAGGAGCCCCAAGAACAACTCAAAACCCTTAATGATGCTCTGGTTTGGTATGCTACACTTCTTTGCTACATATGCCCCCTCATCAGATTCTGAGTTTTTTCTTCTGTTCTGCAGTGAACGATCAATCCAGAGCATATTTTGCCTTTCCTTTGCAAGAGAACCACCCATCCTCACTTAACTCATGCAAACAACAAACAACTCTCAAACTCCCACAATAAAGAGAAATCAATGATCTCTGGAGGATTCACTTCAGAAGCAGGCATAAGGACAGTACAACTTGATGTGATCCCAAAAATCTGCAGACTGCTTTATTAATTCTGCTTTTTTTTGAAGAAAAACATGAAAGAAGTAATACTGTATGATCTTGCAGGTGTAGCTAAAGACCACTATCTCACTGAGCTGTGGGAAGAGGAAAAGAATTAATCCTATGGAACTTGAAGTACAGCCAAAAAATTTTTTAAAACTGCTTCATACTAAAGAAATGTAAATTAAATACAAATGAGTAATAATGAAAAAAAAGAAACTACAGCTGCCCCAATATAAGAAAAGCAATAAAAGAATCTGTACAACACTGATTCCAGACCAACTTAGAATAGCTGAATAGAATCCAGAAATCCAGTCTTTTCCTTAGAAAGGAAACATGTGGAACCAAAACAAAAACGGGTAAAAAGTATCTGTAATTTGAATTCTGTCATATGTGTCTCAACCCTTACAAAAGCAGCTAGTATAAAGGTGTATTAGCAATTAAATGAGACCTGGTCATCTGCAAAATGCAAGGAATATCTAGATAAACTCATTCAGCTAGAAACATTTATTCAAAATTTGTTAGAAAATGCAGAAGGCCTACATTTCTGGCAGAGGAGTTCAGCCTTACATCCCAGGAGCCCCAAGAACAACTCAAAACCCTTAATGATGCTCTGGTTTGGTATGCTACACTTCTTTGCTACATATGCCCCCTCATCAGATTCTGAGTTTTTTCTTCTGTTCTGCAGTGAACGATCAATCCAGAGCATCTTTTGCCTTTCCTTTGCAAGAGAACCACCCATCCTCACTTAACTCATGCAAACAACAAACAACTCTCAAACTCCCACAATAAAGAGAAATCAATGATCTCTGGAGGATTCACTTCAGAAGCAGGCATAAGGACAGTACAACTTGATGTGATCCCAAAAATCTGCAGACTGCTTTATTAATTCTGCTTTTTTTTGAAGAAAAACATGAAAGAAGTAATACTGTATGATCTTGCAGGTGTAGCTAAAGACCACTATCTCACTGAGCTGTGGGAAGAGGAAAAGAATTAATCCTATGGAACTTGAAGTACAGCCAAAAAATTTTTTAAAACTGCTTCATACTAAAGAAATGTAAATTAAATACAAATGAGTAATAATGAAAAAAAAGTTAGCCTTTCTCCTCAAGGAGGACAAAAATGGCTTGCTCAGCCAATCTTCCTCAAGTTGTGTTTTTCATTTCTAAAGATAAACTACTTGACTATATCACTATCTTGGTAAAATGCAGGAGAAAGTGAAAATGGAAAATATTAATTCACATACACAAGGAAAAAAAACAAACTCACTAATGATCCAGATTCATAAATGTAAGAAACAGACTTTAGTAGTAAAATAGTGTCTGTTCACCCAAGTACATTCAAATAGAAATCCACTTTAAGAAATGTGCCTATTTCTGCACTATTGCTAGAAAATGTAATTAGGCTTTATAAACATCTTGAATACAAAAAATAACTGCTTATTCAAAAAAATTAGCAACTAATTTCCATCTCTGAACTGTAGAACACTAACATGTTTCTGAAATTTATCTCATAAACCCAATGCATTGTCATATTGTATCGCAAGATGAAAATGAGTCTTCTCTCCTACATAGTCTCAAATTTTAATCAAGCTGGACAGTGACAGAATAGAAATACAGAACTCTTTTTTTTTCATATTAATCCTTTGACATTTATCTGAAAAACATTAATAGTTGCAGGTATTCTACCACATGAAAGGAAATTTTACTTTTTCCATTCTTACATTTTAGAGTATCTTTGGAATCGTCCAACATCCATAGTTTCACTCCCATTGTAATAATTCACTAGGATTTCCCTTTTTTCCTTATGCTTACCCTGATTACTTGAAGGTTTATGACTTCCCTCACAGAAGTTTTCAATTCCTATCTTTTAACACTGAACTGAATTTTTCAGCTCTCAAACTGCCTGAAGCCACAATTCCATTTTTCATACTAATTGAACAGATGCAGTAGGTAGTACAAACCCAAATTCACCTATATACTAATTCATCAGTATGTACTACACATACCTGTTTCAGCAAGGCATAATTTTTAGAAATTAGAGCCAACAGACCTTTAACTCTTGTGCAAGCAATATGTACCACCGAAATCCCTTATGCCCATGCATAATATATAAAGACGATAATGAAGTGAACTGACAAAGGTTATTTCAAGTGATGTTTTATTCGGACAATAGTTAGCCCTGTGTTGTTATTTTTCACTAAAGGGGAAAACCAATTATTTCTGTAATCAGGATTACAGTGCTTCCCCAATTCATTAGGCTACTATACGAGGCAGAGTGCTTTCAAGACAAAGAGCTGGCTGTCACTTTCACAATGAAAGAACTACTAATGCATTACATTTTTTGAGGCTCACAGCTCCACAAAACAAGCATAACACAAACATACAGAGAGTCTACACATCAGTACTTCAGACACACTGGGGCTTTGCAACCCATCATCCTGAAGGGGACCCTTCAGTCGTATTAGTCAGCAATAAGGGGGAGGTAGAAGAATGAACCTGGCAAAATAAATTCGCACAGAAGTTTGGTTTCTAAACTGTTTGCTCAGTAGTAGAAAAAGAATGAATATAAGGGTTTCAAAGTTTTGCCCATATAAAAATCCTGGCTATAAACTCAATCCTACGTGCTCAAGTTCTCTTTAGTAATGAGTAAATTCTGATGATCTACTTTTTCTAGTTGTCTGCTGCTTTCAGAAATTGGCATTGTGCAATGTCAAGTGAGCTAAATCACAATTTTTGTGCCTCCTGCTTAATATTCTACCATTTTTTGGTAATTCAGAAATTAAGTCTCTCTCCCTATCTTTAGTAATTTCTAAAAATGTCTTCTGAATAAATCTGCTTATAGAGACAGCATGTGTCACCACAAAATTTCCTCACAGCCAGCATCTATTAGCATTCACTGAGTACCCAAAATCAGTAGGTCATTTTAATGCCACCTATTACTTTCTTTCACAAGATAGTCTCAATTTTCCTTGTAATACAGAAAATTTTCCCACCACAGAAAAAGATCTAATTTATTCTTATCATTTTACAGGGGCACAAAAGCGGTGGCAAAGATGAGCACAAGATACAAGTTAATGGCAAGGTATGCACTATACAGCCACACTTGAGTCACCTTGATTTGAGTGCAAGATCAGAGAAGATCTAAGAGAAGAGCTCTCACAGGGTAATTCTGGTCTCTGAAAAAGTATTTAAGTCATCTAGCTGTGCAAAAGCCAGTTTATACTATCAGAATATGAGAAAGACAACTATTTTCCAGTTTCACTACTTTTATTTTTCCTCAGTATACTGACAGCAAAGTTTTTTGATACTAAAGGGTTTTGTTCTCTTTGCAAAATGTTTAATGTGATGATCTAAAAAAACATGCCTTTGTTTCTTAAAGTATCAGAATCATCTCAAAGCGAAACATAAAAATATGTCATACTTCCCCATCCTTAAAGTGAAGAATACTAATACTGAAGGAAAGAGAGAAAAGTCATGTTTGTAACAGTTCAGCATTGCCTTTTAAAGCTGATAACTATTTATTGTATCTCAGACAAAAAAAGAGTCCCTTTAAACAAGTCTCTCTCGATTCTCTTCTAAGGAATAATTCAGTCTGGGATGAAGCAGTTTAAAGATCACTAGAGTATTACAAAATTGTATCTCAACTTCCTTTTAGGATGCTACTCTGCAGGCTTACTCTTACACCTGTAGCAAATTAGTTGTATTTCAAAAGTACCTTCTGAAAATGGAAATCAAAGGCTTGCATACAAATACTTACTGCAGGTATCAGTAACTTTTTTACTTCTTCAACAGCTCTCTTCAGCTTTATTTCTGCTCTGTTTTGAGCATCCTCCACAGTGATAAGTACATGTAAATCTTCATTCAGGTGTTCCCAGTTGGGCTTGCCTCGATTCTGTTCTTCCTGAAAAAAATTAAAACATGGAAGCTATGAAGCACTTACATTCTGTACGAAACAATCACAAACAGTAGAAAAATTCAAATTTACAAATTATTTAAATAGTGTGAACTTTATTTTCAGCAATGCTTCTTCATACTTTGGAAATGTTCGCATCATATGAACTTAAGCCTTCAAAATATAATTTTTGGGGTTTTGTTTTGTGTTTTGGAACCTCCTACTCTATATTATACTTTTTTAAAACTACAATACATATGCCGTTTTTTAAGAGTACCTCCTCCAGCTGAATAAAGGAACAAGAATAAGAAGACAAACACAGTATTACTTTCAATATTATTTAGAGCCTTTCAAGAGTTAAACACGTAAGACATACTAGCAGTTGAGCAGCCTATCTTTTGAAGGGAAGTGAAACAGACACCAAACACCAGAACTCCATCTGAATCACTACAAAGAAGAGGAAAGCAATTCTCCAGTGTTAAAAATCACTTTCAAATACTCATGAAGACAAGATTCAAAGAATCAAAGACTCCAAAATGAACAGAAGTTGCCATTTTCAAAGGAGAGCTGCATACATTGGATGAAGAAAAGAGAGGAGGGGATGACAAGGCTTTAATATTGAAGTTACCTAAGGGCAAATGACAAGATGGTCACCATTACACAGGTACTCATCACATCCGAAGCATTAGTAATCCCAAAGATAAATATTAGAAATGTTTTCAGAAAGGGAAAGCATGCTAAACAAAACATTTCCATTTTAAACAACAGAAACCAATAAATTTAAGTAACACATTCAAGTATCCAGTCTTCCAAAAAATAGGATAATGAAACACAACACAGAAGAAACTTGCCAACTCCTTTTTAAAACAGTGAATAAACAGTGAATAGCTAAATTTTCATGAAACCTCATTAAAATTTGACAGTATTTAAAATATAACAAGTTTTTAAAAAATGGGGCCTCAAAAAAAAGATTTCAACTTTGAATATATAAAAAGGCCTACATAAACAAATCCTACTTATTTAAAATTTAAAAAGCTGAGTATAATAGAAGAGGCTCCTATTTGTAAGATAAACCCTTGTGGCTTAACCACAATTCACACTTTATCATTGCCTTTTTTTTTTTTTTTTAAATTGCGTCTTTTTCCCCAAATTTAATGAAAAATTCCTCCAGAAAATCAGATACATTGAGGAAATGTTCTAACATTTAATACAAATGCAACAGATGTTTGCAGTGCCTCGTAGTCTTTTTCCCCAAATTTTATGAAAAATTCCTCCAGAAAATCAAATACATCGAGGAAATGTTCTAACATTTAATACAAATGCAACAAATGTTTGCAGTGCCTCGTATTCATATATACCTGAGGGAAGAATGCTCTTTAGAGTGTTTAATTTCTAATTCAGCAAAGTCTGAAATGTTTTGTGGACTACACAGGGATAAAAACGGGGGAAAAAACTGAACCATGAGAGATGCATGAAAAATGTATGTAAAAGAATCAGTACTTTGAAACTACTTTTCACTACGTATGTAACGTGCACATACCCATTACTCCACACTATTGGACACAGTGGCGTGTTTTCTTGTTTTTAATGTTATCTTTGCCAACTTTTTTAAAAAAGGTGGCTGTGAAAATAGGTCTGCCAATTTCAGAAGATGGAAACAAAAAGAAAAATAACCCTCACTTATGATATAATACAGAAAGTGGCGCAAAGTGCAGCTGAGTTGTAACATCCTCTCTGTTGAGATGCAATCCTTGAAAGATCTGTCTGTGACAGTTTTTTGCAACTTATTTATTCAATCTTGATCAAAACTCCGCTATTATGTTTAAAAAAATTCCTTTTTTTTTTTTTTAATCCAAAGCAGGAGTGAGCTGTTTTCTTTTAAGATGGTGACAAGCTGCACCAATATGAGGTAGTATATAAAATAATGTTACAGGTATGAAGAATGAGACAGGGTTCCTAAACCAGCAGAGGGCAGAGGAAGAAATGTGCAACTGCATCTTCTCGCACTGACCCAGCACTGGAATGGGAAAGATCCTGGTTACTAACACCAGATGCAAGAAACCTGCCTAACCATAGTAACCTGCCTAACAAAACAAATAAAACAAATTTTAAAAGGCCAAGAGGAACAAATGCAAAGGAAAGCTGGCCCCAGGTAAAGCAGCAAGTTCTGTTCCTGAAAGACAAGGAATGCCTAAATGCAGTTTTAGCTACCACGCCATTAAACACCATGCACCATGTTTATACATAGTGTTAGCAAACATAGAGGGGCTTTATGGTGTAGTATCCTTTTCTCTCATAACGAAAATAATACGGTGCAAAGTCTCCAAAACTTGTTGCAGATTAATGTTACATCAAGTATTGGCACTGCACTCCAAATTAGTCTGTTGCAGCATAAGAAATTCTTACTCAGTTTAAAAAGAGAACAAAAAGCTGTATATAGGACAAACAAGCTGCATATAGGACAAATCAATGATACTGAAGATTTTTTTTATCCCCTTAATTAACTTTTAGGTGGAACATGTTGTGTGTAAGGTTTATAATCACAGGTATTATTAGGGTGAGACCTCACAGCACAAGCAGTCATACAAACTACTTATCAGTAAGATTAACTGGAGCAGTGAATGACTATGATAAGCTTTTCAATGGCCATAAAGTACAGTAATAAAATTGCTGTTGTTGAGAGTCCTGTTTATTAAGCCAAATGGTATGACTGAAAGAAAGGCTAAGAAGACTAAAGTTTCATACACAGTTTAAAAAATAAAAGAAAAAACAGAGTTTGGAATGGGCTTCCAATTTATGTTTATGTACCTCAATACACCAGGGTTATGATTTCTCCCATTCTGTCTCATGAGATGGTTTTCTTAGTGGGTTAACAGTTTTCTAAGAAATGTCTTTTGTTTGATTGAGAATGCTAGTTGAATGTTATACCAGTAGGTATATTTCATTGTTTAAGGGTTTGGTTTTATCCAAAATGGGAAATTCAGGTCTTTACCAGCTCATTCATTGAAACAGAAGGTCAGGTGCAAAACGCAGAGTTACAGTCATGAAAGAGAGTTAATTTGCAAACCTCTTGGCACTTTAGAGCTACCATTTTTCATGCTACCTCATTCTCCTTTTAAATCCTAACAGGATGTTTGGAAAAACACATTTTCCCCCAAGTAAAATCTTTATTTATATTAAACTAATCCTCTGTGCAACAAGTCTTGAATACATCTTTTCCCAACCATGTTTTGTTAAAGTAAAGCCTGAAAGTTGAATATATCTGGAACACAGGTAGGAAGGTATCTTTCTGAAGATTCATGAAATACGGTCCAAGATTTTAAAGGCTGATTAGGGTTTTCTAATGAATTTTTGGGGGAGAAAATGATGAAAAGATGGGGAGGAAAGAACTACTAGAACTTGCCTCATTGCGTAACTTGGTACAAAGAAACTACAAGATGTGGTGGTCTTGAAGTGAATTGCAGATACCACAAACCAGTTCACTTCATAGATTCAGAACATGTCTGGGTGGGAAGGAGCCCTGAATATCACCCAATCCCAGTCCCCTGCTCAGGGCAGGGTCAGCTCAAGCATGTTGCTACAGGCCAGGTTTTAAATAGCTCCAAGGACAGACACTCCATCCCCTCCCCCAGGAGACCTGTTCAGTGTTCAACCAGTGCAAAAACAAAGCTTTTTCTTAGATTTAATTTCTTTTCTTTCAATGTGCACACTGCCCCTTGTCCTTCAGTAGCAACTGTTGATCCATTCAGCCTAGTTGCCAGGTCTACCTATTGAAAATGCAGTCAGAAGTAAAAGAAATTGCCATGAGAATTATTTTGGGAAAGAAACATTTGCTGCTGCAGCAGGAAGGGCACACACACTGAAGGAAGAAACAGCATCAAGGAAATCAGAAAACCTAAGACTTGAGGAAAAATGAATTAAATTGCATATATTCTAAATTATATTACATACACGAGAAGCGATTGGCAGCGTGAAGTCTTCCTGTATCCCAGAGATTGTCTATGGAAGAATTATACAGGAGGAATGAAGACTGAAGATGTAGGGAACTACAAAGTAAAGTGATTTATGCCACAATCTTGGGGAACAACAATACGAGGAAAGCTTAATTATAACCAAACTATCTTGTCTGCTAAATTAAAGAACATTAAGGACAACATAAATGGCAGATGAAATTTCACTGTGTTCCTTGTTTGGCAGAAATTTCAGTATCCTTAAATATAGCCTAATTCTGCAGACAGATTTGCTTTCATTCTCTTGCTTGTGCACAAAAACTCATTAATCCTCAGAGTACCTATGCACAATAATGAACTACTCAATATTTATCTCGCTATTAGGGTCAATGCATTAGGTAGTTAAAAAAAAATATTGCTACAAGTCCTTAAAATTTAGCTTCAGAAAAAAAAAATAGCGTAGCTAGAGGAATTTTCTGGAGGAGGGATTTAGGGGAAAGCAGAAAAGCATGTAAAGGATGCAACTGACTGAATCTATAAAATCAAACTTAAATATTAGAAAGGTTGTTCCTTCAGGGAAACTACTGCAGTTCAGCTCACTGTAAAATTGTACCCCATATTTTCCACACACCTCACCTTACCACAGTAACTTCAAGTTGTGGTCTTGCACCTCCTGCATCTTGGGCCTAAATGGCCATTCCTATTTACATCCTCATATCCCATCCCAAAGCTTTCTTCTTAATTCCTCAATCTCTGACTGAACAAGACTGAGACAACAGCTTACTAGCTTTCTGTAACCTACACAAAGCAGATGACTGAAAACTCCTCTGGAATAGAGTTCAAAGTTAGGTCTCTTCTCTATCTAGCCAATACGTTTCAAAGAACTTCAAACCCAAATGAAAGAAGCATCAAGGTTGACTGAAATTGTAAAAATCATTCAAATGCTGGAAAAGGAAAATATCAACACAAAGAAAGCCACCAAAAAAATTTAATCATCAACATTAAAAAAACCCTCAAATCTTATTTCTCACCCCAAAGGCCACCACAGTATGGCAAACT